AGAAAGAAACCGAATTTCGAGCCGCAAATTCTGTTCTGGATAGTTGGGCTCTCATATGTCACGTACAAGCAAAAACCTCGGCGGGCATAAATACCCTGTCAGTATCCCCTTAACCGCAAACCTTTATTCAGGCGAAAAATAAGTTGGCCCGTAGCTGACGACGCGTAGCTTTAACAGTGCTCTGTATGGAAAGCGTGTCGTGTCAAAATGGAGGTTGTCTCCTCTTTGCTCCCTCCTTCCTCCTTCGATTCTCTCCTCCACTTTTCTCCTCTCCAGCGCCTTTGTCGCCACACCCACTGGCCAGACTCTCCCAATTTACGGCTCTGCTCTGCAACAGCGCTGTGCTCACAATCGAATTTGCGGGCATTGTTTTTGTGTTCTCGAATTCTTTCTGAGAATTTCTTTGTTTCGCTGATGTAGGTGGCAGGGCACTCTGAGCATACGATTGAATACAAAACACTCTGCGCACTTTCTTTGGAGGGACAATCTTTCGGTCGTGGCATCATACGTCGAAGTGTTGCTACCGGTTTGTGGGACACCTGAATACTTTTTTTTTGCCAGCATACGTGCCAGCGCTTTGCTTGTTCCCTCTATGTAGGAACACAGATGCGGGTCAGTGGGTGAAGCCACGTGCTGTTCTGTGACTCAAGGTGTCTATGATTGCAATCTTGATGCCGAGCAACACGAGATGAAGCTACTGGTGCAGCCGTTCTGTTTTAAATTGATGACGACTGTTTTTTCTTTGTTTTTACGGTCCATCTCTAATGAGCAGATGTTTCTTGCTCTGGACAGCAGGTCGTGACCATTCAAGCCTTGTGACTCACTGAGCGGTTTGAGTCAAACCGGAGGTAACGTCCTGTGCGAGTTGGCTTTCTATATACTGTAAAATCCAGGTCCTCGCTTTGTCTCTTCAGAAGCACATCCAAAAACGCCAAGGTGTTGTTTTTCTCACATTCCACCGTGAATTGGATGGCCGGCTTCACAGTGTTTAAATGCGCTCGAAGGTTGTCTACTTCCGCCTTCTTAGCGATAGAAGAGGTACCCTCAACGTAGCACAAAAACATTTTGGGGCTTCTGGCGAATGACTACAGTGCCCTTTGTTCAATGGACTCTTATCTTAAGACTTGATGCGGTGACCGAGATTCACACACCCACGACGGTTCCGTTGGTCTGATTATAAAACTTTCCTTTAAAGGGATACTTCAATGAAATTTGAAATATTCCCGTCGTGTTCAAAAATAGGTTGAATATGACCCAAAATATTTGTAAATGACAATCGCACATTTGTATTTTGAGCCTGGTGGCTGTATTTTTCGTTATAAACGGCCCACTCTGGCAAGCACTAGGAGAAGGCCCAGCAGAGACCACGTGACATCCAACGCAATCGTGACGTAAGCCGTCTCACGACGAGCAAAGCTACGGCGAGGCTGACGTCGAGAGGATGAGCTAGTCATTCCAGCCACCGAAGCGGCTGCTTTTGTATGAATTTCGAGTGACGGGTTAATCTTCTATAATCTTGTAGGGGGACAATAGCGACTCCTGCAACACACAAAAGGGATTCTTGGAAAGAGGGGAGTTCCTCCTTCCCCTCTTCTCTCGTCGTGGCCGGAGGCGAGACACTCACTGTCACTAGCTGTCAAGGTTCCTAGACGGGCATTATAAGCGAGGCGTTAGCGACATCCACCAGGTGCTCTTTGCTAATCGTTTAATTCATTTTAAAATTCCTGTTCGAGACTTTTTTAAAGGGACCATGAAATGATTTTAAAATCGAATTTCATCCACCGCACGTCGTAAAAGGTGTGAAACGAAACACAAAAACACAAAACTAGGGAGCCAAAAAAAATTATTTGCTATAGAACTTTTAAAAGAAAACTGGACTCTTTTGCGCCTTCCTTCCTTCGCCTGTTCACTACGATGCATCTGCGGAAATGGAGCACGTCAGCCAAATCCAGGTCGCCGAAAAGAAAACTGGACTCTTTTGCGCCTTCCTTCCTTCGCCTGTTCACTACGATGCATCCGCGGAAATGGAGCACGTCAGCCAAATCCAGGTCGCCTATTGGGTAAGAGCCTACCTCACCAGCACCGCGATCGTAAACAATAAATAGCCGGCGAATGTTTCCTAAAAGTTTTGTTTAATAATATTCAGATCCACATTTTGTAGCATAATTAGAGATCTGTGGCGAAAATTGCCAAATTTGATAATGCTGAGAGCCAAGCGCCATCTATCGTGTGGTAAACGAAGCAACCACTGCGCGTGCGCAGTAGGGCAGGGCCTACTTCAGAACGGTTATTTCATTTGGTTTCCTTCCTCTCAGAACTCTGACTGACTGAACGTTTATTTTTCTACGTCTTCATCTCGCGCGTGCCGACTTCAAGCAGCAAGAAAAAAATGTACTTAAAACAGACCACGACGAACAAGAACGCTGGATCCGCAAACACCCGAGAAGAGCGACAACAGCCGCGAATCCCGCTCCGACGAAGCTCTCAGGATATAGGCCTAGCAGGCACTCCGACTCGGCGCAGCGTTGCTTCGTCGCAAGACCGTCTGTCTGCCTACGACCGGCTGGCGTGCTGAATGGAATATGCCCGCGCTACCCTTGTGGACCCTTCCCGTATTATAGTTCGATCGCTGACCTCGATTTCAGGTTAAGAGGTGTGGTCAATCTCTTCCCCTTGTTTTCCGAGGCAGGGTTGACGAACACTCGTCGAAAAGGGACCCTCGTCAATTCTCTCTTCTTGTTTTGTGTGATATAGAGCTGAAATAAACGCTGTATGGATTACCTTCGTAACACGGTATGTACACTTTGTTATTGGTGTGCCATTTTTATTCTGACAGACTGCACGTCACTGTCGAGCTGTAACAGTTCGTGGGAGGTATACGCGCAATACCGGTCCAACCTTTCTTTGCCGAGTGTCGCGTCAGTATCGAGTTGCAATCGTAAAAGATCGGTCCCGAAGCGCTTACCAACAGCGCGAATACAGCACTTCCATTAAACGCGCGCGTCCGCTCCGAGTGTGAACAGGTATTTATGTGGCTCTTGCTGACACTCGTAGTTCAAACGTATCTTTTTTAATGTCGGCTCGCTCCTGCATCTCCGAGACCGCGAAAAACGCCGCGGCTATTTGTTTCCATCTACGTCGCTTTGCAAACGACTGACACTGGCCGCCTTTTACCAACAATGACAATTGGGTTAACTTCTGGAGTCTTCACCGGAAGACTCGCTGCACTTCCCAACAGGCATAACGGCGTATGGGACTAGTCCCAAGCTGTCGCTGTAGCGCAACGTATCTCATTGAATTTCGCTCAGCTGCGATGCGGCGATGAGAGGTGCCGATTCAGAAAATACGTCGGTGACATCGGCGCAGTAAAACCTACCGGCACACCCTAACTAGTCGCCGCTAACGCTCCCATCTCCAACTGCCGAGAGAACTTCCGGTTCCGGAAGCAGCGTACGTCACGGCTTGTTTTGCGGTCAAGAAAAAGTCGATATTTCATTAATTTTTTGTGTAGAAGTTAATAAACCGAGACGAAAACGGATGCCTGTTCGGCATTCCGTGAACATTGACGGTTTAATGTAAAAGTTATCTGGAAAAAGTAAAAAAGTCATTTCATGGTCCCTTTAACAAGATATTGGTATGTCTGATGTGATACTGCTCCTTTGAACACATATAGACCAAAAAATTAGTGCCAAAATTTCGTTGTAGTATCCCTTTAACGCGAAGTAAGTGCAGCACACGGCTCTGCCCACACACCCACATCTGTATTCCCTACATACAGGGGACTAGCAAAGCGCTGGCAAAAGAAAGTATTCAGGTGGCCCACAAACTGGTATCAACACTTGGACAAATGATGGTGCGACCAAAAGATCGCCCCTCTAAAGAAAGAGTGCAGGATGTTGTATATTCAATTCCATGAGCAGAGTGCCCTGCCACCTACATCAGCGAAACAAAGAACTTCTCAAAAAGAATTCAGCAACACAAAAACGATGCCTGCAAATTCGACTGCAAGCGCAGCGCTCTTGCAGAGCATTGTGAGGACAATGACCATAGAATTGACTTCGCAAACACCCGTATCATAAATGTTCAGACAAACTTCTGCCAGAGGCTTTTTATAGTAATGGCATATTCATACAACACCAGGAAACATCAATGGGTGCACTGGCACATTAACATCATTATACGTAAATGGACTAAGCCACCTAACAAAGTGAAAAAAGAGACCATTATCATAGAAGAAAACAAAGCTGCTGTCCCCTACCTGGGAATAGTCGTCCCTGAAGAAAAAACAGCCATTTTGAAACGTCAAGACCTCGTTGTGGGATTTAGTTGGTGACTTTTTTTCAAAGTTCTAAGTTCATTGGCCTTTATACTGCCACCTTTTGTTGATTGATTAAATTTATATCCGCATTCTTCTCAGTACCTGCACGTGAATGGCGGGAGGTGAAAGCTCTCTGCTAATTAAGCCAAACCTGAGCAGTTAACAACACAAGAAACGAAAAAGGCATCTTCCACATTGCTGATTACCGGAACTCCATTTGGCAGATCCAGCTGGAAAGATGTCTCGAGACAGGCGAGCGTATTTAATTAACTGTACGTATTTATTTCGGACAAATTTATTAGTATCACGGAAGGCTAAGCTCTTATAGTGTTGTCTATAAAAATTTGGTTTCAATAATTCTGCTGAATTATTGAAATTTAAGGTAAAACTCTAAATTTGAGGTAAAAAAAGTAAAACATACCAGACACCACCCGATTTTGCTCAAAAATTAACTCTGAAAACACAGAACCCTAGAGATGATCAACCTGACGGTGAACGAATACTAAAACTGCAATCTGCAAACTTGCGGTCACAGCTTTCATAGATTGCGGAACGAATTCGGGACAGACAAGACTTGTCGAGGCAGTGGGAGAGAAAAGTTGAGACTTTCTCCACATTGCACTTGATCATTGCAAAGCATGCAATAAAAGCAAAAGGTCATGCACAGAGAAGAAAGCATTACCTTGGGCTTGCCACCAAAGTTTTTGTCAATGCCTTCGTGCTCGGGAATATGCTCGTAGAAGCAGCGGCTGCCGTACACACACCCAAAGGTCCTCCAGAAATAGCACTCCTTCCCGTTCACAGGGCCTGTCATTTTGATCTTGGGCTGCGGTAACTGATTTTGCTCGCCGACTCTGCATGCACAAGCCAGAGAGAGCAATCATTTTGATTTCAAGGCATAAGTACAACCTTACATTTAACTCACAATTAAGGTGCGCAAAAACGAAAGGGGGGACGGACAACGAAGAAAGTCTTTGTTGTACGTCCCTCCTTTCTATGTATCTTCCTCATGTTCAAAGACAGCAAGGCACCAATTTCACAACTCGGTTTAATAGTGGCATTACTTTATTTTACCACACCCTTAATATTTGGTTAGATATTAAATTAATTTGAAGCTTTAAATGAGAAGTGTCACTTTCCCCCCAGGGTGCCATGTTTGCATTAAATTAAGAAAATAAAAATTAAGACATGCTTTGGGTTTCAGTATATACCAAAATATGGCCTTTTGGCTTTGCCGAGACGTTAAAAAAAAAGCCCCAGAGTTTAACATCATGTAATATACCATGCTTTGCTGTTGGCAGGACCGAGGCCCTGGGGCTCTGCTGAGGCAATGGGGACAGGTTAATTTACAACCCAGGGTGGCTACTTAAGTGGTGTTTTCAAATTCCTCGACTTTCCAGGTTTTCTTCAACTATTTTATAAAAATTTTGTGATGGCCTCCTAGGGGTCTGAAGCGCAGGTTTTATGTGAAAACATGGGTATATACCAGGGGTGGCCAGGGTGACCCAACCTAAGAGCCGCCAACAAAACCACGAAACTTCCAAGAGCTGCGGGGGAGGGCAAATGTTTTCCAGAGCAATAAGACAAAACTAGAACTACTTTCAATCTATTAGTGTCAAAAGCAGTCCAACTGTACGTAAGGTAGCAGTAGCACAAGACTACCAAACCGCAATTTGTCTGGATTTAATACTCATTCTATTTCTTTCTTTAGGGAAGTGCTCGTGTGACCAGAAAGGAGGCGAGAAAGTGCCGGGGGGGCTGGGGAAGGTTATTTTTGTATGATTTTAGACTTTTTGTGGTTGCTTGCTTTTTTTGTTTCACATGTACTGCTCTTTTACTTTTTTTGTTTATTTTTATACCAGTGTTCCGTCGTTCGTGCTGCTAAAGGCCGACCTACAAAATAGTCCTTTGCCGGGCAGAAAACCGGTTTCCAGTCTCCTTTTCTCCATTCCCTCTCGCACACTTCTCCTCTCTCTACAAGAGCGGGTTTCTAAGCTACTCCTTGGAGAAAGGTCTCCCTCTTTCTTGAATGGGAAAGATGAATTGAAGGAGAGTTTCCTTCTTCCCGTTTTCTTTTTTTTAAAAGGAAGACAAATATTGAATGACTACCAAATTGCTGCAGACTGCTTTGTCCGTACCCGTAAATTGTACAGTACATTGACTACTACACACAAAGACGGGACAAAGCACAGCATCTATAAAGGGCAGTGGCATAGGCATGGGGGAGGGAAGGGGTTTAGGAATATAACCCCCCTCCCTTTCTCCCTCCCCTTCAATGTGACCACAGTTGACCAACCACAGAATCTGGACACTGCCGTCAGGCAGCCCAGTGGTTCCGTTTCTGGAGTTACTAAAGGTCTTCTTGAAAGACCACCACACCGAGTGTCGTAGCAAGAACTCTATTTTGTCCCCCGTGATGTCTGTGTATATTGTTCATTTGATTGAGCGAAGCGTTGAGTCCCGCACCATAGTTGGCGAGCGTGCTTTTATGGGAAAAAGCAGGACAGCTGAGGCTCTTGCCACAAGGAGATTGGAACCTCCCTGAAAGGAATTACTTTATCGGCCGTCTTCATTGTTCGCCTTGATTCAAGCTAAGCAATTTGAAATTCTCCTTGTTGCAAGAAGAATTTCAATTGCTCTTTTTTCTTTTTTTTTTCTTGCAACATTTCTCCTTTTTTCTTTTTTTTTCTTGCAACATTTCTCCTGCCACTAAAACTAGATGCAAGGTGGAATGTGCGCATTTGGGGCACCATGTTATGCAGACCTTTTTTATCTTCTACTTCCGCAATACCCAGGAAAATGTGAAATATCGCCTAGATTCACACAGCGTATTATGTAACCCCTCCCCACCCGACTAACTGACTTCTGTTTGTTGTGACAGGATACCTGCTTACTACTGAGGCTAGTAAGAGAATGAAATAGTATGCCTGAAACCAAGAACATTTTTATTACGCAAGTCACAAAGGTAGAGTTCTAAGACATTCCAAGCAAAAGCTGAAATGAACATGGGAGTAGAGAACCTTCATGAGGGCATTGCCAACTCTTCTACTCGGAGATGTATGGCAATGTGGCCAAAGTCCCTGTGCTCGTGTACTTTGGTAAAAGCTGAATGCGCTCATTCAACATTTAACATTTTTCTCAATTGCCAAGGGAAGTTTTGCTATACTCCGCTACAATTTTTCTTGGCAATGCAGTGGAAGGTACAGGCCCGCGTCCCCTCTCCCATTTTGAGTGTATGCAGGCTCTCCTCCTCCCCCATTTCCGGAGAGAGGAGGAGAGCTCGCGCACACTCAAAATGGGAGAGGGGATGCGGGCCTGTACCTTCCACTGCATTGCCAAGAAAAGTTGTCGCGGAGTATAGAGTATAACGGATCAAAACACAAAATTATTGCTAGTTGTTCACAGAAGAGGTTAGGCTATTAAAGGCATAACAGTCACGTCCTATTTACACAAGAACTCTTTCAGTACCGTGCCATAAAAAACCAAACACGGAGTCCATGATGACTTTCAAAGCATCTGGAAAAATAAAAATTGGCGCGTCACAGACAGACAAGGGCACCTAGTTTGCTCATAAAAATCTACTCTTTCAGTTTCGGTTTTGTTTTTCCTCTTCTGATGTGAGACGGCGCTGAAAAAAACGAAACAAAACCGAAAAAAAAAAAACTGCATAGTCGGGAGCCAAGCATCACGTTTGCCACGCGCACCGCAAAAGCGGAAGGCTCTAGCAAGCACTTCGGCCGCTTCTGTTGCTGATTTTTATGACTCAAGCAGCAGTGATGACTCGAGTAACAATGCGGGGTCGTCAGATTTTAGTTCTAACAGCGACACTCCAGCCCAAGGTCCTGGACATCAACAGGAGCTCGCAGGTGTGTTTCGTTATAGCTTACGCACGCTTTATATTTGGCAAAAGTGTTTTTCTTGAGTGTTTAGAGTTTCGACAACGTACGGCAAGGATATCTGTCACGTTTCACGAAGAAAAAGAAGAAGAGAAGCGCGAGCATCGAAGAACGGCAGGCGGTCATTCTGCGCAAGGATTGGACCTTGGCATCGCTCCGGGGCAAGTGCACCAGCGGCTGGCCACGCTCCAGCACCGCTGGGACACTCCATCCGGCCGCTCTGATTGCCGTTGGTGCCATTGACGTATGGACTGCTAGTCCGAAAGCTAAAGGACAAAGAAGCAGACAAGAGGCGGGAGGAAAAAAGGATCATCCGAAGCAGCGGAGCCCAGATTTCGGCGACGACCCGAAGAAAGGCGCAGCTTCGGGAAGGTGCCCCAAAGCCAATGAAAGGAACCTATCGACGACCCGGGGAAGCCTCAGCGACCGCCGAAGAAAAGGAAAGGAGACACCAACATTGACGCGACGCTGGCACACTCTCGACAGCGACCCGAGCAACCACAAGGGTTGAACCTACAAGAGACAGATTCGATGGTGACCAAAACCAGTGGCAGCGAATCCCGGCAGTGACATGAAAAGAGACCACCACCGGGTATTTCAAAACGCAAACTGACCTGACTGACCTGGGCTTACCATCAACAGCCCAGACCGAGCACCAGATTGTCGAGTGTATACGAATACGCGAGACTATTGATATTTTTTGTACATTTGTAGATTAGTTTATTAGTGCTCTTTTTGCTTCCCTCTTTATGTAATATACCTCTATCTATTTCATCATTGTGCACTCTTTTCTTTTTATCCAACGGTTGGACCCTGAACTGTGACAATATCTTTCCAAATGCATCGCGCTGTATCCAGTTTTCGCCCAAAAGACAGCCCGGTGTCCATGTCGGGGCAGCATTGTGGAGCGACACACGGCGGTTCTCAAGAGCACTGGATTTTTTTTTTTTTCTTTCGTTTTTCACTGCCAAGGTAGTATGGACTTTGTGCGAGAACACAAACAAATATAAATGGTGGTTCTCCGAACCCTAAAAGTTATTCTGGAGTAAATCCCAGTGTGAGGGTTGCTTCCCGTCACATCTGTAGCCCCACCAACAGCGTTATCAGTTATGTTTTCCCGGATGATACGTTGTTTTTTTTCCGCGGTCCCCTGAAACACGTATCAACGAGGTTTTACTGTATAATTCACATTCCTCGGGTGTAGTGCGACGAGTCTCAGACCTGTACCGCTGCCACCCTACTAATTAACAATGCTTTCTCGGGACTTTGAAATGCTGACATCATCTGGAAATTTAGACGATATCCGTGGTCGACTCGCCAGCTCATCAACCGGCCAGTGCGGTTGATGAGCAATCTCAATACTTCGTTTCACCTTAATTCAAAGCCCAGCTGATGCTACGAATCAATGAGACCAACTAAACAGCATCAAAGCGCGACATCATGGCATTCGTCATCTCCTTGTATGTGTTCTTTCACCGGCTAAACCAATCAAGTGCAGCGAATGTCCCGTGATTTGCGCTTTTAATATGTGTGTTTGTGGTTGAATGTGTTCGAGCCTTTGTCTGTGCTCTGACCTAAGATGAAACAAACTATATGTTGAGTAGAGATGCTGTTAAATACATATTTGTACAATTTTTCTTTCATCCTACTTCTCTGAATTCGACGAGCAATTAAATACTTTTATTTTTTGCTTTGCTTAAGCTTATCTCAGCGCATGTGTAACGCAATTCTTAGCAAAAATGGCACTTTGTCACAAAATGTAGCAAACCTTTGTTCATGGCACAATTTGGCACAAAGGGTGCAGCATTTCCATCACTGCGTAACAGAGCCTTAGGTACCTATCCACAGTAACTCTCTGAACCCTGCACACAAGTGACCTAACGTGACATGAAGCTCACCGGAAGCTGGACTTTTTGAGCACAGTGAACTGGCCGTTCTTGTCCGTGACGGGGTTGTCCGGAAACCGGATGAGCAGGTTGGAACCGCACAGCTCGTAGCCCTGCAGAGCCTCCATGGCTTTGCTCGGCGACAGCTTGTTGCCATAGTTGATGAAGGCACAGAACTTGTCACGCAGCAGCCGCATGCTCTGAATGTCCCCATACCTGCACCACCCCATCATTCAATTGAGGCCAGAGTGATAACAAACTGCTCGCTACTCAACGCCAAAGGACCTCTACACCGCCGCCGCCCCCCCCTCCCCCTTAAAGCAAGCTCCTCATTTAAAAACTCTTACATCCAAGGAGTCAACTACAAGCAGGAAAACCTAGCCATGGACGAGGAAAGTACCTGGATAATGTACATTTACCCGAATATTATCCCTGTGCAAATCACCCAACTGTCACCCCAGCACATTTTGCACTGCCCCACAACACACTTTGCTCTATTTGTGAACAATTACCCATTTTTTCCTCAAAGGAACTGTAAAGCGATTTTTGAATTTTCTTTGTAAAGTATAGATTTTAAATCCCTAAAACCTCCCTTTGTGACTCTTGAACATTTGTTACCACCTCTGAAATAGTTTTCTAATGAAAAAATTAAAAAAAAATTTTGTGTGTGGCTGTACTGTACCCTCAACTTACCAAATATGCAACGGCAAGCAGTCAGAAATCTCCGCAGCCGAAGAAATAACCATGCAAAATTTGTGGGGTAGTAGTTGTCCCAGCATTGCCTTCAAGCTGGTAGCGCTTTTAGCAATTTGATTTCCACGAACTGTATTTTTCATTTCACATAGTTTGCGGTCCTCGTAAAAACAAACGGGATTCTGCCTAAGAGTCAAAGCCTCCCAAACTCATGTCACTGCCGTATGCCTGACAGGAAAGGCCTACTTCAGATGGGCCAATTTCCCCAGAAATTTTAGGGTTGCCAGCGAGTTGTTCCCTAGATCCTCAAGCTGCAACACGAATTGCTGGGGTCATGTCCGGCTTGGAACAAGCGAGACTCTCCTACAATTCACCAACATTTGAAATGGAAGCAGCCAATCAGGTGGGCGATATTCTCATGTGAACCCCTTGGGAGGGTAATGATGATAACTGAACATGAGGCTAACTTGCTTCTTGTTTCCAATGGAGTGATTTTGCAACTAAATGGTTTCAGGGAGATAAGTTAGTCCTGCCATCACCATTTAAAATGTAAACACCTGTTATTAACACAAAACTTTGTATGTAAATAGTGCAATAAAATGAAAATTTTAATGATAATGATGACAAAACATGGCACTTCGAGTTTTAGCAGTTACTCTTTGTGAAGGCAGAAGGCCTGTGTTGCTAGTATTGCGAGATCAAAGGTGGAAAAATCGGCCAATCTGAAGCAGGCCTAAAACAAGAAAAACACAGAAATGTACCAACCATGCACTTTGTATGAAACATTCTAATCTCCCCACTAAGCAACCAACCCCGGACAACGAAGCATATGCTGACACTGCATTTCGCTAAAAAAAAAAAAAAAAAGAAAAAAAAAGATGCTTAAACAACACGCATGAAAAAAATAAGGAAGCAACTATTGACAGTGCAGCTATCACCAAGCTTTCCAGAAAAAAAACCTCAAAGTGGGACGGGGGACGTTAAGGCCCATATGTTAAGGCTTGTTCACACACCTTCGTACCCAGTTAAAAATGCCCATTGAAACCAATTGGAATTTTAGTTGGTGCCAGTTGCATCTAGTGGATTCCAATAGGTACTAAGGCAGCCAATTGGCTAGGCACACTGGAAAGTGCATTTCTAATTGGCTATCATAATTGAGTGCATTTTCCAATTGGTGAACCAATTGGAACTATAACTTCCAATTGGCTATCCCAAGTGGGCATATTTTCCAGCTGGTTGTCTCATTGGAACCATAGGTTTCAATTGGCTATTTCAATTAGGTGCATTTTCCAATTGGTTTACAATTAGAACCACACTTTTCAATTGGCTGCTCCAATTGGGTGCATTTCCCAATTGGAGCAATACACTTTCCAAATGGTACTGATGCAGCCAATTGGCTATTTGAGTTAGGTTGATATTTACCGAGCGGTTATAGGACTGCCATGCACTTGTCCTTCCTTGTGGAATGAAATGGCACTAAGTTTCAATATGACAGACGTTTCTTCAGGCACAGTAAAATGGTTCTACTACTTAAGCTTGGAATAAACACCATGTTTATAAACTATTCACAGGTATGAGATTTTCCGCTCGCATGTGGTGGTTCTATAGGCATCACGAAAGCACTTTCTTTTCTCTCCTCACATGCCAATTTTTTCCCGGACTTATAGCTTTGACTTTGCTCGCACATAAGGTGAATTGAAGTTATGGGCGTACCAACCAAACCCCCCCCCCCCCCCCCAACCCCCCAGTTGTCAGAGTTGGGGGAGGGGGGCAGGGCATGTTTTGCCCCCCCCCCTCCCCCCCCCAGAAACAGCCGCCACTGGGCAGGACAAACACTGGTCGGCGGTGCCCAAGGGATACTAAGGGCACCAAGGGGGGGGGGGGGGGGGGGGTTTGGTTTGCCCCCCCCCCCCTGCTTTGCCCCCACTCATAAGCCAGTTGGTATGCCACTGATTAAAGTTTATTTATGAATTAAAGTTATCCTGCAGCGTCCAAAGGGAATTATCGCAGTTGTTCGTTGGATGTCGAGCTGTCATCCGACTCAGAGCGCGAGAAGGGTTCAAATTCTGAATTTGAAGAGCCATCGCTCCAATCTCCGCTACTTCCGGAGCAGCCGGCACACGCAGCCATCTTGAAAGTTTTCGAGTGCACAGAGCGTCCAGTTTCGTAATTTCAAAAGCCCCTCCAAAACAAACACGACGGGAGATATGTGGTCGTAGTTTCCTACAAACCTACCAGAAGGCAGCACGTCCCCGCGAGCGCGCCCGTTCATGCAGATTCGGGAATTTTTGAATGAGCAGTTGCGGACGTACATGTACGTCAGCAACCATGCGGGACGCACCCGCACTCACGTACAGGTACGTCAGTGACCGTGATAGGGTTAACAGGGCTGGCCCCTGCCCGCCACTGGCGGCCAGCTGTAGCCGAGTCCTTCAGCAGGAAAAGAGCCTAATCATTGCGGAAAAGTTCTTGGAAGTCCTTATAGATGTACGAGTAAGGCCCCTCGATACATTTCCCAGCCGTTTGCGTGCCTTTTCAAGAGCCGAGGAGCTGATTCCCGTCATGATGCTGCTGCAAAATCAACATGGCGCCGATCTTCCCGCCCGCCTGGCCAACCTTAGCGGCACTTCTCGTGGAACTTTGCACTGCTCTCTGACTGTCAGCAGGTGTGCCGAACGCCTTCGCGAACCTACAGGCCTTTGAGGGATGTCCGGATAATGACCAGGCGATTACAAAGCGAAAAACTGGTGGCCAAGACCAACCACCTTTGTTACGGCCATGACCAGTGCCGGACGCTCATCCGCCTCCATTGGGTTAGATTTCCAGGCATCGGCCGCCGACCGAAACAGACTGACAACAGCTCATCTTGAACAGTACACGACAAGCGTTATTCTTTTATTTTTTTTTATGTGTTTTTAGTAGTTGGGTTTGTTTACATGTGCGTCCGGGCGACGTCCGTGTCCCAGAAGCTGTGCAACTAGATATCTCCGTTTCTGTTTCTTTTTTCACCGCACGTGTGAGCGTTGGGTAGAAAGTGCCAGTCTTTTGATCAGCGTAAAAGTGCATTCTGTAGTGATATGCAAATAATGTGTAAATATAAGGCCTTGTATAAAAAAAAAATGAAGAAAACCTGAGAAGACTGATGGGATATAGTTTATCGTTGTACCAATAGTACAAAATAAACCAGTTTCTAACTGTCAAAACACAAACGGTGTACAAATAAACCAGTTTCTAATCTCTGTGCAAAACACGAACGGTTAGTGTTCCAGTTGGGAAAAAGGACCAATTGGTATCCTTCCAATAAATAAATAAATAAAAACAACTGGTTTCAGGAAACTGGTACCAATTGAAAAGCCAATTGGTCTCAATGGGCATTTTTAGCTTGGTTTGACTCCGACCGACTGAGGCGAGACCGGTTTTTAAACCTCTTGCGATGGCTTACGTAAGCCGTCGCAAGAGGCTTCAAAACCGGTCTTGTCTCAGTTGGTCGGAGTGAAACACAAGTGTGTTAACGGGCCTTTATCCAACGAAAGTGGGTCGAAAGAATGGTAAAGAGATGGACCCTAAGCAGCCAGTCAGACACGGGAACGGCCCGCCACATGAGACATTGCAAACTTGAGGTCCAGGTTGGCAACCCCCAAGAGCATAGATTACACATCCCCTACCCCAACACATATTTTGGTAATCAGAGGCTTCTGCTTCTGCCCACCAGCACACGTAAAAGGCCTCATGATGCGCGTTACAAAAAGGGTCTTTCCCTAACAACAACTGAGAGGCGTGGACTCACTTGTGGAAAAGGTTGCGTAGCATTTTTTCCGTGACCTCTGGCCTGACGTTGCCCACCCAGATCGAGCAAAGGCCGTCCAGGTTGCCCGGGTTCATCTTGGTGTCCGCCTTGTAATTCCCATTACCACACAGGGCATCCACAGCACTCTGGATGTCCTCGCCGCCCATCGTGAGGGCCCAGTCTGCTTGTTCCTGGGTGAAGCCCATGCCCTGCAAGTACATATACTTCCTTCTGAGCTTTACGAGCCAAAAGAAGACAAGTAGAATCCAGTAGGAGTCGTGCCACGCTTTTTCCATCGCTTGCACAGAAACATGGCCATATCTGCACAAACAGGAGGAACCAGAACGATTTTAAAGACACCCAAATTGCATCTGAAAAATCAATTCATAATTTTAGCAATATTACTCCGAGCTTTTTAAGGGGGGACACTATCCACCAACACCAGAGTATTCCAAGAGAAAGTTTCATTTGTTTACACAGCACAGTTATGTTTTTCATAAATTATTTTCAGTCTATTGATGTTAAAGAAAAGGTAGATGTTTGAGCACCTTGAACACATTTTTCTCTGTTCCACTTTTTGGCATGAACTTACTTCACTTTAGGAAAACTATCATTTGGTAACAGGTCAAAAAGAAAGGCTCACTCATTGTTTCTCCTAACCGGAATTTAATGGGCAAGGCAACAAGTTTTTTTCTACAACATATAAGAGAAAAAATTTATTTTTCGGTGCGATGTTAGCATAAACTACATTACTTTTTGGAAACTGTTATCACAGTTGCACCCTCCAGGCATTTGCTGCGTATCTAATAAGAAAAATGTTGGGTATCACATTAGTTTCAAAACAATAATTTTCCTAAACAATGTCATTGTGTTTCGGATAAAAACTAATTTCTTTCAACACTGATGTACACAGGAGAAACTTTGCGCTGCATTCAGGCTCCAGTGATGCGATTGGCCGAAGCCGTTTTGGAGCACCTTTCGGAGAAGCCGAAACAGTGTTTTGGAGCAGTAAACGTGGCTTTTGGAGCAGCCAAAACAGAGTTTCGGAGCAGCAAAAGTAACTTTTAAAGCAGATTCTTAGAAAAAAAAAATTTTGTTTTAAGTGCTGGGCAAATGAAAAGCACTTTGCTCACCACAATAAACAAATTATGGTCAAGTTAGACCACCTGGGAGTCTTTCAACATGTTAACTGAAACGCCAAGGACATGACACATTTTGCAATGCTTCAGTTAAATGATACGTATATATGTTTACCCACTATAAATAAATAAGAACCAAACTGCACATATTAAAATTTATTTGAAAATGAGCTGCTTAGTAGTAAATATCACAGCATTAGGTTGACTAGTTATAGAAGAAATTGAAGCACTCTCCGACTGATGTAACACGTAACTACTGCAGTGCAATGCGAAATTGTACACAAGGGTGCATTACGACTAGCGGGTGCTTTTCGTTTTGTTTTTCGAAACTTTCTGCAAAGCTGCTGCAAGCCTTGCTTTGCCTTCGGCAAGTAATGAATGCCCACTTTCAATGTCTCCACAGAGACATTGAAACATCCCACAAGTGTACAGTGCTGTAGGCGTCGCCGAGCGATTCCGAAAAACCGCTTGCCACCGCTTTACTGGTTCCTGACGTGTCAGGTTTTCGTCAAAAGTAAGCAAATGTAAAGAAATGGATTGCAAGCGTCACGGCTGGTGCCTCTGTCGTGCAATCATGTTTGCATGCACGTGAGGGAAGCTTCGGCAGCTTGCAGTTGCGGGTCCATATCACAAGAGCGAATGACGTTTTAGCGAATAACGGGGGCGCACGTTAACATCTACCAAATTGTTTTTTTTTCAAATTCCCCGACTTTTCCAAGTTTTCCCTGACTATTTTAATTAAATTCCCTGACCCACACCCAGAAACGACTACCGACACCAAAACACAATATATTACAAATCAGGGGTCTCAAACACGTGGCCCGCGACTCGCTGAGATGAGGCCTGCAAGCAACCGGCTACGAGTTCGGTTGCAATGTCTCGAGCGCTAGAAATAGCATGCGCCATAGTGATCTCATCTCGTTGATTCATTTTCGCTCAAAAAGTAGCTCTGCTCTTTCAACATATTCCCATTGTTTATACTTATCTGCTTTCATTTGCCTTTTGTTTCGTTTTATGTTTTGCTTCCCAGGTTTATGTAATGTACAACAATTCCGCTACTAGGCTGCAAGCGCGAGCAATTCGTTGAAAGATGTATCTCGGCTGCGCAAACTCTCGATCAGCAGGAGCGACTGCTAAAGATAAAGCTACGAGCTCAGAATTCTCGGCTTCAAGAAATACCACCATTAAAAGACAAGTATTTGTTTAGAGCGTTGTAAGAAAAATCGTCAGGAAAGCAAGAACTGCAAATTAACTGACTGTTTTTTTAGAGGCATGTGGAGCTTGGTTAATTCCCGAGTGAATTGAGCAACGGGAACGACAGTGTACTTGTTCTCTTGTTCTATTAAAAAATGGAAGCACGTTGGCGGGGCAGTATAATTTTACTTCTTTTTATCACATCAGGTCAGGGCCCAAAGTAGACATATAAACAAATCAAATCTAAAGATGTCTCTAGCACAACTGGGAGTTTACAAAAAGCATAGAGCACGAGGTTTCTTCCCTTTAGAACCTTTTAAACCAGAGACGAGAGAGTGGGACTCGACTCAAGTCGCAATGGTTTAGCGCCGCAAGTTCCCTTTCACAGGTGCTTTACCATGTGCCTGCCATGCATTCTACAAGATGTCACCTCCTCCCAGGCAGGACCATCATCAGCAGTACTGCTTTGTCTCTATTCATATGGTATTGTTTCACCTGTCCACGACTACACCTAGGGTTAACTGCATACTTTCGCCATGTTACACTTGTTGAAACTGCAAGCTGAAACTTGCAGTTTCAGCAAGTGTAACATGGCGACGTGTTTGTCTATAAACTGATGACTGGCTGCAATGGTGCCGCCACTACGCGTGAGCGAAGTTTGTAGTTGATTCGGTTTAATAACTATTTGCACATGCCTACTAGTAATTTCCTCTATCAATCCTTGATTTGGTGGCCACCAGGGTAAGAAATGCAACTTGGCAGATTTAGACGATTTCAAATGCTTGTGCTGAGTGCTTTCGGTGCACGTGTTTGCTTTGAACTTCAGTGAGGGCTTCTGTGACAAACTAAAACTTAAAGCATGTAATTTATTTGATAAACATACCATTTATTTTGCAACAAGATCAAGCTAAGCCGGAACAGCTGTTGGTGTTCTATCAAACTTTATTTTTAAATTGGAGTTATAATGCTCGACGAATACCAATTTGACAGCAAAACATTCGATATAGTGGTCGCAAAGCATCCTAAAATATTTGCAGTCGAGCACTGCATACAAGGTTCAATTTCCCTACTTTCATGCATTTCCTCCAAAAACCTGCGTGTCCTGGTGTCAAGCAATGGCTGTCTGTGGTGCCCCCAAAGGCCCACCAATTAACGATCCAGCCTACTACAATAGAGATGAGTGGTCACAAAAAATCCGGATTCAAGAATAGAGCACTCAATGATCCTTACGTACAGTAGAACCTCGTTGATACGTTTTTCAGGGGACCGCGGAAAAAAAGCGTATCAACCGGGAAAGCGCAGCAACCGATAACGCACTTAAAGGCACTCTATATAAGATAGAAAGCAGCTCTTATGCAATGGTTTATTTTATGCACTTACCGAACTCTTTTGGACTCAGACACGTTCACAAAAACGCGTAATATCCACCTGCCGCTTCGAATTAATGGTATGCAGTAAAAGTCGTTTCTCCAGAAGCCGCAGTCCCCTCTCTCTCCGCGCAGTCATGAACGTTTACGTAGCGGCGCAAGGTGTCCAACGCAGCGATCGCGTCCGCAAACGTGGGTGCAGCGTAATCGTTGGTTTTTTGTTCGTCTTCTTCATCACTTTCTTCGTTGTCGGCAGTAGTGAGGTCGGCCACAATGTCCGCTATGCTCGATATCCGAACGATCAGCAATCTCTTGCGCCTTCTCTCGCAGAATGCCTCCGTCGATGTTGACACAAGATGCCCGGGCTTGTTTGAACCATACCAACAGGGCCTCCTCTAACTTTGCGTGTTTTGCCCCCCGAGCCTGTTTAAAGCCTGGTTGGTAGAAAGGAGCCTTCGCCTCGATCTCCTTTCGTCTCGCGACGACACTGTTTAAGTTGACGGCGCGAGTCCAAGCTCTCTTGCGACCTCAGACCTCTTCCGGCTGGGATTTCGATCCACCGTGCGAAGTATGTCAAACTTCTCTTTAAAAGAGAGTGCTTTTCTTTTTCGGGATGTCATGGCCGTCGTCAACGCGCACGCACTCAGAAACGGCACTGTTCACGCAGTCGAGCTGTCGAGCGGAACAGAAACTGCAAGTGCAGCGTCCCGGCGTGCGTGCGGCGCGTAAACAACTCGCGCCGGAGAGAGAGGACAGACGAAAAGAAAGAGCAAGAGAGAACGAGCGTTTCGCAGAGCTCAGCAAAGCCTAGTGAGGAGACCGGGAAAGAGGGTGAAAGTAGTAAAGGTAAAGGGAAGGGGGGCGCCCGCGTGCCGCGCGGCCGCGCGATCCGCGCTGCGTGGTTCGGCTGCGTGGCACCTTGGCGCACGGCGCGCCGAGGCGCCGCGATTCCGGCACTTTTGGACGTAACAACCGGGAAAGCAAACGTAACAGGCAGGAAACTAATACATGTATCTCTATGGAAGTAAAACGGGACCGGCGTTTTTGAACGCAACGGACAGGAAAACGTATCAACCAAGAACGTATCAACGAGGTTCTACTGTATTTTTGTAGCTTGACCCGACTGTCTTCTCCCATGCCAAACTTCCAAGCAATAGTACCGAAAATGTGCCCAATCTACAAACAAAATTCTTTTCCCAGGTCTTCCCCACATAGACATCATGGGCCAAAATATTAGAGCTCAAAACAACCCCCCCCCCCCCCCCCCCACTCCCTCCCTCCATAAAGAAACTGCAACACAAAATGTGATGCAGCGTCAAGCTAGACACAATCGCAGCGCCACCATTTCTGGTGCCACGACAACTTCGGCACCATAACTCTGGGAACAGGCCATACCAGAACAGAGAAGATGAAAGAGACGCGCCCTGCTGTGGCTTCCTAATGAACAGCTCTATTCATTAAACGCACCAAAGTGAAAAAAAAAAAAAAAGATGTTTACAACTCTCTGTAATGCTGTACTAAAGCGCAGCTCTTAAGGAGGAGAGGAGCGCATGCAGGAGAGGGTCACGTGTGACGTCAGACATGATGTCACGTTTGACGTAGCGTGGCCACTCGCGGGAATGCTGAAAGCCCGAAGCTTGCTCATTTAGCGCCTGCTAGGAGTGGAGCGTGTCGCTGGCATTGTTTGTTTGATCATGTGACGTGACCCAAGTGAGTAACTCCGATCTACTCGAGCAAGACGTTCAGCTGGCACTCGTGTCCACTCAGTGAAGAAACGAACACTGCGTCGGCTGGCACTCGCATTTTCTTCTTCTGTTTTAAGAGCGCAAAACCAGAAATGGTTTGGTGCCAGTCATATAATGCATTCTGTGCTAACAACACACCATTGGTCTAGAGGAATCAACAGCAGCATATGCCCATTTGCATGCCTACCATCAGTTCATAGATGTGCACGTTATGTAGCTCGGTGAAAGCCTCGTGGCACTCTGGGTCGATGCTGAGCACGGTCTTGAACGACTCAGCGGCCTCGCGGTACTTCTGGAGTCCCAGCTGGGCCTTGCCCCGGCGAAAGTACCCCTTGGCCAGGGTGGGCTGCAGGCTCACAGCCTTCTCGGCATCGTACAGGGCCCTGCAGCCAGACGTGTGGCATTGTCATCCACAATAGGAAGTTCTCCACCCACACCTCTGGGTGCATATTTTATCCAAATTTCTCTTGGAGGGGGAGGGAGAGGGGGAGGCAATAAAAAGCCAGATGATGTTTTAGTAATGTATATCTACTGTGGCCACCTTCCAATGGTAAGTTTCAAGTTGGCGATTGTAGGCAAAAAGATAACAGATCCGCCGAGCAATGCAAAAAAAAATCCAGTCAGGAAAGAATTCAACAAAACAAAAAACACCCCCTTCAGTGTTGAAATGATGGAAATTAGAAAAATCTAGAAAGCAGGCAGGGCAAACGAAGTCAAATGCTATATTCTCAGTGCTCGATTGATTGGTCCAGTCTGTTTTTTACTGATGCCTGCAGTCGGCCTCGGGAATGAATGAAGGAGAAGGAAGGAAGCGAAAAATAGCCCCAGCTTACTTGTCATATCTCTCCAAGATGCAGTAGCAGAAAGACCGATTGCCATAGGAACTGAAAAAAAGAAGAAGAAAGTTGGCAGCGGAGTTTATTGCGGCACAGAACGGACATTGCAGTGAGACGCACGTGTGATCGTCTGGACACAGTTTGATGGCCTGGCTAAACATGCTAATGGCATCCTTGTAGCGGGAGAGGTGACACAGCTCAAATCCCTCCTCTGAAAAAAAAGACAACACATGTATAGGACTACAGGCATATAGTATTTAGTAAGCAACATCTGTGAAGAATCCAAAGAAACAAAGCTCCTAATACGCCCCCAAAACATCGAAAGTACAATGTACTTTCGACGTTTTGGTGGCATATTAGGAGCTTTGTTTCTTAGGATTCTTTATTTTTTATTTCTAAAATAATAATGACAAGCAGTTTAATTTAACCGAAAAAAATGTCATGGGAAATGCTTGGGTTTTTGCCAAAAGGCTGAGCAGGTGAGATCAGAAGTACTGAGATTCAGAAGGAAATGTACCTTGCTCAGGCAGTTGTAGCAGGACGAATATGTAGCTTGCAAGTGTTGCCATTGCTAGGTGCTGACGGTTATTTCTACTTATGTACTGGTTTCTTCGAACTACCACTTCTGTGGTGTGAAACAAACACAGCGAGCCGAACACTCGCAGTGCATAAAATACTGGCATGGCCACAATTGACGTCACGTGCAAGCTATGTATATTATTTCTGTGACCATTTTGAACTCAAACTCTCAATAAGCTGAGACCGGCCATTTGAGTTTGTCTAATGAGCGGCGAACAACCAACAAACTTTGTCTCGCAGCATGCCCGCTTCGTGTGCAGAGTAACAGCTGCATGAAGATATGCATGATGCTGCGCAAAGCATTTTTTCTTCATAAAGACAAGCCGTAACAAAAATCGGCATCTCCTCGATTCTCTGCTTCTTTCCAGGATCATGTTCTTTTGTTTATTCCGAGATGCATATGTCTCAATCACAGATTCGTTTAGAGCAACACTTCAGACAAGTCTAGGAGATGTTTCTCGGTGCCACCCTCTGAAATTAGCTGGCCTCCAAATTCTGCAGCTGCCAATTGGCAAGTTTGCTCCTGCATGTGCATCCGTGTGCACTCATCCTTTTATAACCTTCGTATCATTTGTGCTTCGTTTCAACATTATTCGGTACAGTAACAATGGCTTTGTTTGCTAATGCTCGGTCGCTCGACTCTGGTCCAGCATAGTACAAGCAAGACAGGAAACACATGCAGGAATGCGACTCTGGTCCAGCATAGTACAAGCAAGACAGGAAACACATGCAGGAATGAAGAGCCGAGGGAACCTGTTCCAATAGCAACTGAGGCAACGGACAGTGTGAATAGCTGGAATCATTTCTGTCATCTATGGATGAAATGCTGACAAAGCATATCGTGCATTTTGAGCATATCAGGTCAGTTTCAGTAAAAACCACACAGCGGCTCGAGAGAAAAAAAAAAAGACAGAGTTCTACAAGTTTTCCCTGTCACCGCAATTTCCATGCTATACTTCGTTTCAGTTTAAGTTTTAAGTCCAGACGCAGCCGACACCACAAGGTAATGGGACCAATCAAGCAGCGTCAAAAGTGCAAGTCACTGGGCCTTTCCATTTTATGATTGGCGCGATGATAGACCACATACAAAAACATGAGGAAACAAATGATGGTGCGCTTTTGACATCGTCCGATTGGTCCTATCAGCTCGTAGCGTCGGCTGCATCTGGACTTGAGGTGACTCAAACTATAGTACTGCTGTTGCACATCGCATAGCCAAACTTCTTGCATTTGTAAAGAATGGCACACAACAGAATCTCGTTAGATTTTCCAACAAACTGCGAAACAAAAATACGACCCGGGTAAATGTAACAACCAATCACACTATGCTGGCTAATAGATGTGGGAAGAAATGCTTGTGCAATTTATTTTGCATGCAACTCGGCAGTCTTGAAACACCCACACTCATAAAAAAAAAAAGTTTTTTCTAACGAGACAAGACTCTTTGCAGGCTGCCACAACCACTTTCCCGTTTGAGCAACTGCTTCTCAAGCGTGTCACTTTGTCGACTCTTTCCAAGTGGTACTGGTCAAAGAGTGCATGAACGTATCCACCCACTTCCACCCGGGTCTAGATCTAGGGACTGCAGTACGACAAGCATGTTCTCGACCGAGCTCTAACTTCCCTCCTGTGATGCCAACATCAAAGCGGAACTGACGGCACCACACAGAAACGGCGCCATGTCGTGCACGATGACTCAATTTCTCACGTTTGATATTTTCCACTCAAGCCTATCACCGAAGCAGCTCGTACAATAAATATTTCTGCCGGTCCAGCTAAATTAGTTATAAAGGTGTCAGACTGTGTGTCGTACGTCGGGTCGGTTAGATTCACGCAGTCTCATTAAAACAGTACAATAGTTACTCTGGAATCCAATCTCTGTCACCGACAGATACCCCAACCTGTGCGCCCTCCTGCCATGGCACCAGAACATTATTAGTAATAGAGCACCAGGCATGACAGCTCCGTATTTTACAGCACAAGGTCAAACCTACCGGCCAGTTTCCTGCTCTGCGCTACAGCATCCTCTCGCACTTTCACAGATTTCTTGGGAACTGCTCCACTAGCCTTTGCAGCCTTCCGGGCAAGGGACATCACCACAAAGGCACTGTTGAGATCCAAGTCCTCAAAAACAAAGGAGAAAAAAAAAAAAAGAAAAAAAAAGAAAAAAAGTCATCATTGCATTTTGTGTTTGTTTAGACAGTGGGAAATTAGACCCAGTGGGCATCTGCCATCTTCGCTGTAGATGAGAAATTTAGCCATTGCATTACCACTGCTAGTCTGGGGGCCGTGCATCAGGCAGTGGTGATACACGACTGCAAGCTGGTACGATGCTCAACCAGATTGAAATGAACAAGGGTGGAATTCCCCTTGTAGACTGCCCCCAAATTGATAAAAGAAAAAAACTGAGGGTTTTCATGACATGCAGACTTTTTCATGTAGCTAGAATTTATACAATTTCATCCTTGTAAGAGAAAAGACGCATTACTGCATGCCATGACAAGGAGGAGCATCCTTCTGAAGTGGTGTTTAGAGTAGCAGCTTCTTTTTAATATCACCAATAATGTTTTACAGTTGTTGACTTTAACACTTTGCAGTTTTCGTAAAAGTATTTCCCTCTCCAATCACTGTCTTGACTGAAGAGTTTGCAAGGCTGTTAAAATAAAATTTTCACGGTTTTTCAACAGCCTGTGAGAACATTGTCTTGGCACCCCCAAAACGGTAGAAAAGAAAGAACTACAAAAAGTGTGCGAACGCCCGAACAGGTACAGCTCACGCAACCGAGGGACCCATTATAGCGTGTATTACCTCTTCTTCCACTTCTGTCTTTTCATCTTCCAGGTCACTAGAGCTTCCCGACCTAAGCGAAAACAGAAAGTTCATATGTCAGCAACAGTAAATAAAAGCAAAAAAAAACAACTTTTTTAAATATAATTTAAATCTGATTTATTAGATTTAAATCAGTGTAGCTAAAAATTTGTGACGTGGAAGATTTGGCTGACCAAACCGTCCGATCACTGATAACGAAGAAGAATTACTGCAAATTTAGAACACATTTAATTAACGTTTCTCTAGAACAAAAACAGCTAGATTTTTTCTAAAGGTAGAAACAAAGCTCAATTATCCAATATGCTCAGAAAAGCAACGCGTTTCGCTCGTTTTCAGAGTCACATACACCTTTCTTACTTGATGATCCTTTTTTTTAGAGACAAAACAAATGCACATAGGATGCATCCAATGATAGACAAATGTTAAATAAAAAATATTTTCCGAATTATTTTTATGGGAAAAGTTTGTTTCAAATCATCATAGTAAAACTAGTTTGATGTAGATCGCAATTTAAATCATCTTAATTTTTATTCTCCACCCTGCAGTGAATCAAAACCTTGGTAAGGAAGGCAATGTAACAGGGAAGAGAGCTGGCTTTTCCACAGTCTCAAGGAACAAAAATAATTTCGAAGATAGCAGGCATCATACTACGCAGGCTCTCGATATACAGTCTAGCCCGGTTATAACGAACCCGTTTATAGCGAAATAGCGGTTATAACGAAGGGATATGGATTTCCCATTCCCATTTCTGCATTTTTAATGCAATTTGGGTTCAGTTATAACGAAGTAAATAAAACAGCCTCAGGGGGTAATACGAAGACAAATTTCGTGCCGAGCAGATAAAATACCTAGCAATCACAATAATTTACGACCTTTTTTTTTTGCAAATTTTGAGTAAAAAACTAGTCAAAATTCGGCTAACAGCAGCCTCCGCAGCGTCGTCTGCTCTCTCTATCGCGTAGCTCCTATAAGATTGCTTCACCGCACCACCTCATGCGCCGCCGTGGCCTTGAAACTTTTCAAAACAAACAAGAAAGAAAAAAAAAAAAAATTTCCGACGACAGCACTTTCATGCGGCCAATCGTCGTTGTCTCTCTCTCTCTCCCTTTGCTGTCACGTGACGGGTACAGTCGCTGGAGCCGCCCGTTTAACTCGGAGTCGGCTGGGGTAGCTAACGCACAGTAGCGTCGTTCGTGTACTCGAGAGTGACACTCGTAACTCTCGCGCAAGGTGCAGGCGTCGTGCAATGCCAGCTCCAGAGTCGCATCGCTTGGAGTTTCGAACACACCGCGACACGGGCAAGGGGGCGCCGAGGCGCTCGTCGTTATCACAGTTATCATTCTTCTTCGTTCTCTGCTTTTCATATCGTACTGACCGCTTCGCTGCTTCTGCCATCCTGACTTCCCCCCGACAACTTTTGGACAACGGACTTACACTAGTGTTAGAATTCCACGGAAAAGACTCTGACTGCCCCTTGATTCTTCTGAATCACCGCTTTGTCGATCATGTCGAGTTCCGCGAGCCCCGGGACGTCGGCCGGAAAAAGGAAAGTGCTGTCCCTGAAGCTGAAGCGCGCCATTTTGGATGACGTCCGTAGGAACGTCAAGAAGACCGATATTGCGCGAAAGTATGATATCGCGCAGTCTACTTTGTCGACGATTATCAAGAAGGCCGGCAAGATCGACGCCGTTCTGGATGGCGACGTTGGTGGCGGTGACCGAAAATGAATCCGAGGTGCCACCTACCCCGACATAGAAGCGGCGCTTTACAAGTGGTTCGTGGATGCCCGCGCGAAGAACATCCCGCTGAGTGGACCACTCATGCTACAAAAAGCAAGGGATTTGGGCTTCGTTCTCCACTACGACGACTTCCAGCCAGGAACTGGATGGCTGCAGCGGTTCAAAGACAGGCACGACATAACGTGCAAGAACATTGTCGGTGAGGCCGCGTCTGTTGACGATCCGTCACTCCAGAAGTGGATGGAAAAGAACCTGGACCGCATCCTTGCAACGTACACCGACAAGGATATCTATAACGCCGATGAAACCGGATTGTTTTTTCAGCTGCTACCAGCGAAAACACTGGCGGCCAAGACTGACAAGTGTGTGGGAGGCAAGAATAGCAAGAACCGCATTACGGTGCTCGTTTGTTCGAACATGGACGGCTCGGACAAGCGCGATCTGCTGATCATAGGAAAGGCGAAGAAGCCACGGGGCTTCGCTAAGGTGCTGTCCATGCCGGTAGCGTACCGTGATAACAAGAAGGCCTGGATGACGCGAGACATCTTCACAAAGTGGCTCACCGACTTCGACAAGGCGATGGACAAAAAGAAGCGCAACGTGCTGCTTCTGTTGGACAACTGCAGCGCTCATCACGTGAATGCTCATCTGAGTGCTGTCGAGGTGCTGTTCCTGCCCCCGAACACGACCGCAAAGCTACAGCCGATGGACCAAGGGGTCATTGCAAACTTCAAAGTCCTCTACCGGCGCCGAGCGATCAAGCGCCTGCTGATTGACATCCGCACCGCCGTTGACCCAGCCAGCCTGAAGGTCCCATTGGAGAAGGCCATATTCTTTGCGAGCGGAGCCTGGAGGGACATTAAGCCACAGACCATCCTCCACTGCTTCCAGAAAGGTGGCTTTTCGAGGAGCAGCAGTGCTGACGAGAGTCCTGCCGGAAACGGAGCAGCAGCCGCTGATGGTGACGCAGCAGCGACATGCTTGGGGCGGCTCTGGGAAACGGCAAGCAAGGTCGACCTCGTGCCTCCCGGCGTGGATCACATAGACTTTGCCTTTGCCGACGACGACATCGTCGCTACGGAGGACGTGTCCACCGAGGACCTTGCCAAGAGTGTCGTGGACGAAAGTGCCGATGACACTGCCTCCGACGACGATTGTGACGACGGTCGCATTTCGCAGCCAGTGACCTCGAGAGCAGCCGTTGCTGCGGTTGACGTGCTTCGAATGTACTTCGGAGGTTCCGATCCGAGCTTTGATCTGCAGTTTGACAAGTTTGAGGCCGCGATCGTTAAACGCTCGCTCGCGAACAGCGTGCAGGGAACCCTAGATGGCTTCTTGCAGAAGGAATAAACACGTTCCCCCAGGTGAATTTTTTTTTTTTTTTTCTTTAGTTTGGACATAACGAAATAGTGGATATAGCGAAGTGATTTTCAATTCCCGCCGACTTCGTTATAAACGGGCTAGACTGTATACCAAAAAAACCCCAATAAATATGTATGCCAATAATTATTTTGATGACGAACCAGTGGCAAAACATGGGCCGCAGAAAAAATTCTAGAGTGTTTGGAGTTCACATTAATTTTCTTCTCAGAATTTTGAATGATGTGCCAGCAGAAATAAAAGCAAGCCCAAGCACATTATACCAATTTCAGGAATTTTGGAGGAAGTTGTTCTGAAGTAGTCACTAACAGAATGAGAACTCGGAGTTTTCTGAATGCTCAGACTTTTGGATGCACACCATGCCTTGCGCTGTACTTTGGCTGAACGCACACACTCGAGGCAGGCACATATCCAGTGTGAGGGGGCATGGGGCCCGAGTGACAGGTGACAAGTGACAGGCGTGAACATCACGTTTTGTCATTGATATGTCTGCTGTAATGCTAGGAGCACAGCGCCTTGGACGCCTCACCAGTGACAGATGCCATCTTGTTTCGAAAGCCACCAACGTCACATCAGCGTCGCATTGCGATTGGTTCGTAAAAGTGATTGGGGTAAAGCGGTCCCGATGCTGTTGGCAAAAGCGCTCTCCAACCGCTCGACCCCAGCTGCTTTGCGGTCGAGAATGCGCGGATCCGCTTCCAGTGTGAACGCGCCATATGGGAGGGAGCACTCACCCCTTCTTGTCGTCGTCTTTGTCTTCATGCCCAGCATTCTGCTGCTTTTGTCTCTGTTTGCGGCGCTGTAAAAAGACATGTTGCACAAAATGAACGAAATACCCTTAACTTTGAAACAGTGACACCGCCCCCAACCTCCTTTCATGAGGATGATTAAACAGCTAGTTAAAAAAGATGCAGAAAATAATTATTGGCTACTATCACAATACAAGGAGCTCGTAGCTACCTTAACTCGTTAAGTGAGAAGTTTTCTGGGCGCACGACCATGCGTTTGTGGAGATTTTTCCACTGAAAACACATTTATTTTCGCACAAAATTTTTTATTTGGCTCATTTAATATAAAAGGAATACCAGATTGCATCCTGTGCTAAAGTAGCACAGGATGGAAACTGGTAGGTCATGGTTCCTCCTTTAGGTCCGAAATATAGGACAAGTCAGAATTATCGGCGTCCGAAAAAACGGTTGGAGACTGTATAACAAACTTATCACGGAAGTCTGTTGTACACGGTTACTGCTATATCAAACGACTTGATATATTGAACGAATCATAGCGCCCCGTGCCGTTCGTTATAAACGGGTTTCACTGTACTGTAGAATTATTATTTTAGTTCTTGACCACAGAGTAACAAATTACTGGTGCACACTGTGCCGAAGTTAACAGACATTCGGGCTCATAGTAAAATGCAGTTCCAGCATGCTTAAGAAGTGTAGATTTAAATGTTTGATGAAAAATGGACATGCTGTCTAATACACTCTTGGCATAAGAAAATGATTTCAGGAATTAAAGGCAGGGCTAATAGCGCCACAGCCCTTAGATTCTCCCTAATTTGGAAGTTCCGCTGTCTTCTGCTTTAGGAAATCTCTCTGCCCTCGTTGATCATAGTAGGAGGCAAACAATCTTTCAAGAAATTAAATACTCCCAATAAGAAAACTTATCAGCTCGTTTTTAATACTTTATAGCGATTCGAAGGCATTTTGTTTGCTCGTTTAGACGGAAGGCATTTCAACTACTTGAGTTACAACAAATGACACAGTCAGTCCTCCAATCTTGCTAACATTGTTTACACGGTCGAACTGCTAAGCCTCACTTTCACCATGCAGCAGAGTCCAGTAGCAGCATGTAGTGCATGTCTGCAACTTTGAGTGTGTTTTGGAAAATGGTGGCGTAGATGTCGGCTATACACTCCATGTGGGAACTTTAAGGGGACCACTGATCTCTATGTCTGTTTGCTGGATCACGTTTGACGAGCTCCGCCTATGGACGGGAATGCGGTCACGGTCGGCCATCTTTTTGGTAGAGTTATATTATCTCTAGCCATCATAGTAATATGGCGGACAGCGCAATGGCGGCAGGCTGCCATAAAGTAAGCGTGGTTCTAGTACACTGTACCGTGGGTGATATTTCATGCTTGATTGAAGTTGTTCGACAAATCAGATTCTTGAAACTCGGCGTGAACCCCATCCTTGAGGACCCGGCGGAAGTTCTACAAAAGCGCAGCACCGGGGGAAAGCAGCGCAGCTCGCATCGAAAGAAGCATAAAAAGCACATGCGACTACAAAGCCTCGTTTCCATAGGAGCTAAGCCTTTTTCTTTCTTTACTTTTTCCTCAGGTAAGTTCCCTCTTTGCCAATTTTGCAAAAAAAATGCACCATCTGTGGGCAACGCTGCACAAAGTCGTAGTGCGATAGGTTAAGAAACCGAATTTTCCGGTCGATTTAAAGAGCCTGGCGTCTCCTTGTATCACCCTGTAGTTCATCAATCTAAAGGTGTCTGTTGTCTACCATTAACCCCGCGAGTTCCACGTCTTTGGCCGGGAAACATCTGCCTCCTCGCTGCAAAGTTCCTGAAGTGCTTTATAACTGTTCCAAGAAACGCATACGACAAGTTTTTCCATCGTGCATATAGCTTTTCAAGCTTTGAGGTGCACGTTTCTGTCGTGAAGTGACGGCCGATTCAACATGGCTGCCATCTTCCCGCCACTGGCGTGCCAGCTGTAGCCGAGTCTTTCAGCAGGAAACTACCCTAACCATCACCAAAAAGTTCTTGGAAGTCTTCATGAATGTGCGAGTAAGGCGCACGGTACGTTTCGCGGCCGTTTGCATGCCTTTTCAAGAGCCGAGGAGCTGATTACCATCATGATGCGGCTGCAAAATCTACATGGCGCCGATCTTCCCGCCTGCCTGGCCAGCCTTAGCGGAACCTCTCGTGTAACTTTGCGATGCCTTCTGACAGTCGGGCAGCTGCGCCGGATGCCTTCGCGAATCTACAGGCATTTGCGGGATGTCCGGATTATGACCAGGCGGTTACAAGGTGAAAAACTGGTGGCCGAGACCGACCACCTTTGTTTGTGGCCATCGCCAGTGCCGCCTCCATCGGGTTAGATCGTTCGATTTCCAGGCATCGGGCCGCCGACCGAAACAGACTGGCGACAGCTCATCTTCAACAACACATAACAAGGTTTTTTTTTTTTTTTTTTTTTCTTGAACAGCGTTTTTTTAGTAGTCGAGCTTGTTTTTAATGTTAGTTTACATGTGCGCCCGGGTCCCAGAAGTTGTGCAAGTGGAAACTATTTTTATCTCCGATCCCTCTGTTCCTTCTTTTTTAGTGCTGATAGAAAGTATGTTTTCGTTGAGTGTAAAAGTGCAATCGTTAGTAATACGAGACTAATGTTATGCAAATAGGTACCAAGGCCTTTTAAAGAAGCAAACAAAAAAAAAAAAACCTGAGAAGGCTGATGAGATATGTAGTTTACCATTGTACCGATAGTACAAAATAAACCAGTTTCTAATTGGAATCTGTGAAGTACTCAATGCGTTTTCCAGTTCTATTTTGTGCATTTGCTGTGGACAACTTTTCATGGATATACGTTTCGTCGACAGTAACATTTTGACACTCGTCATGCATTGCACGCTGTATGCACATTTTGTCACGTGTGTATCACTGAGGTTCCAGTTGCAAAAATACCAATTGGTATATGCCATTTGGGGAGCTCCAAAACACAACTGCTTGTGGTTCCAATGGGAACCACAACGGGACCCAGAAGCATAATCTAGCGTTATAGTGCAACCAGCTGCAACTGGCATCCAACTGGGACCAAACTGGTCCCAGTCTAACTGGGATCCAACTGGGACCAGTTGCAACTGGAACCCAACTGGTCCTAGTTTAACTGGGACCCAACTGGGACCAGTTGCAACTGGGAATTGTTCCTTAAACTAGTTGAACTGGGACAGGTTGGATCCCAGTTAGAAATTTTCACCTGGGTTGCGAGAATGTGGTTCCAACTTCTAACGATGAAGTACTAAAAGGAATCTTTTGCTTATTTGTTTTCAACTGGCTGACGTCCGGATCCCGGGCCTCAGAGCCTCAGGCAATCTGACGCTTAACGACTCGACCTCACCTCGGCCAACTTGCTTAACCGCTTATACTTGAAGAATAACAATCCAGTCGCAGGTTGTGTAGCGCTTGGAATCCGACCCCCGAGTTTTTTCGTGCGCTTCCGACTCGGGAGACACAAGAAGAATAAACAGAACAAAGGATTGCAAGGCCGACAAAGCTAAACACGCTCATTGTTGCCAATCAAGTCGATAAAAACCGAAACCAAGACAAAATACAATTTTTTGGGCGCACGTTTTGCGATTTGGCGCATAATGGCACAAGGTATTGGCTGTGGTACAGTTTACGCAACATGGCGCAAATGGCACAGCCGTTCCACCCCTGCAAGTGTGGTTGCAGGGACAGGACCTGTTTCCACTCAAGGTTGGCCCTTGCTGCCGAAGAAGGTGAAAAAGGAAAGAAGAGAGTGTAGAAGAAAAGAGGGAGGTGGAAGGAAAAGTGAAAGAAGGAAGACGAGGGTAGAAAAGGTGACTGACTGAATCATCCTGGTCGGGCCAAGCCAGGACACCAGTCTACAAGAAGCAGGGGCCAAAGTGGTATATTGTCTCGCCCGGGGAGGGGGGGTTGAAGGGTCCAATATATCTTAGGCTCAGCTCAACCACCAGGATCCCCCTTTCCCCGGGGTTAAGCGATGCACAGCCAGACGTGGGTGGGCGAACCCACACGGCTCAGGGTTCATACTGACACCACTCACCAAGCACCTACTAAAGCAAGTCCCCCTGCGTGCGGGTATGGTGACCCACGTGGCTGGGGTCCGCAATGACGCCACTCACCAAGCACCTAACACCTAAGGTGTAGTAGGCACCTTCTGCGAAGGTGCCTACTAGCACCTTCGCAGGGGTTCTAGCTTTAGCTAGAACCCCTGCTCAGTTTAGCTGGGGTTCTCACTGCCTACCTTCAGTAACGGCCTCGCGGCGGCACGCCGGTCGCACTGCACGGGGTGTATAGATGCAGTCACTTTAAACGCTGAAGGCACTGACAGTCTAGTTCTCCCGGTCGGCTCATGTAATGGCGAGAGCGTACCCTGGTAGGTCAGTTTGTCCTTAGGGAATGCTCTCCCATCGTATGACAAAGGTTCCACACCAGCGGCATCTAAAAAGCAAGACACTACACAGCTCGTCTCTCAATATGTGTCAAAAAGACCATACGGAGGCTAGGTTTCTCCCCTGTTCAGCAAAACTTCAGCAATTGAGGGGCCTCAAGTGAGAGCCAGGAAGCTGAACATCCCAAATTCAAAAAATTAAATAACTTACCGTAGAATACCGGGCATCCGCCCAGTACACATTAAGCGCCCATTCCCAAATTTGTAAGATCCAAGGAAATACGCAGAATACATTTGTATGTGAAATTGATGACCGGACAAGCGCCCATCCCCCAATCTTTCGCGATTATTTCTAAATTTTGAGTGGGCTCTTGACCGGTATTTTACGGTAGGTTTATGTGACTTAAATCACTGTAGCCAAAAATTACTGACTCCTTATCACTACATGTGTTTTTAAACATGGCAGATTTGATTGACCAATCCATACGATCACTGATAACAATGCAGAAGACAGAATTACTGTAAATTTAAAGGACATTTTAATTAAAAACCTTTCAGTAGAACAAAACCAGCTGGATTTTTCTATTTAGCTAAAAATCCTTTGTGATTTTTTCTGCAATTTAATTTCTTGCAACAAGACATTACCTTGCTAGTTTTTGTTTCCTTCACGTTTTGATTTGCTTGTAACTGATGAACGAAGTGGAAGGTAGAAAGAAACCTTCATGATCCAATTTGCTCGGAAGAGCAATGCTTTTTGCTTGTGTTCAGCATGATAATAATCTTTCTCGCTTGATAATTCTTTCATTTACATGCAAATTAAATACACATAGAAAGCATCAAATGATAGACAAACAATTAAGAAAAACTACTTTCGAAATTATTTTTACGGGAAACACATCATTTAAATCATCGTAGTAAAACTGGTATGATTTAAATCACAACTTAAATCATGATTTATATAATTTTGATTTGTATTCTCCACCCTGCTTCTTACCAAGATATGTGTGACTGTACCCTATCACTATGCACACTGTCATTACACGTGTACTTAAATCCCCTAGAGCCTCTACCAGCTCCTCAGTGATTTCAAACAGATGGGCTTGTGTGTCAAGCAGATAGAACTGAGTTCTATCTGCTTGACACAGAAGCCCATCAACAACAGGAGTCCGTCCTTCATATATACCTGGTTCCTGCAGTCAGGACTGACAAACTGCACACTACCAGTTCACAAGCCCTTACTTGCTTCTTAGCAGCCTTCTTGGAGAGCTTCTTTGGGGTTTGCGGCTTCTTGGGAAGTGCTCCCGTGTGGCTGCCGGGAGCAGTGGCACCCTCGTTGTGATTCGTGGTCTTGCACACATTACTGTTTTCCACAGGGAGGGTCTGGACGGCCGCCGTGCTCTTGCCCTTGTTGTTTCTAACAGGAGAGGTCTGGCTGGCTGCTACAGCTGAGTTGGAGGTTTGGCACCCCGTGTCCCGCCCCTGGCCAACATTGTCGTTGCAGGTGTTGGAGCATGAGCATTCTAACGGGTTTGCATTGTACCAGTCTGCCCGAAAACAAGGAGGCCATTAGAGTGTTCATGTGACCGTGACCACACCTCCAGGGTACTCACCTTCCAGGTCAAAAGCTTTGATGAAGACCTCGCACATCTTGGCCTAGAAAGTAAGCGCGGCTCTCCTTAGAATTCAAACAGCCAGTAATGGGGATGAGCTTTAAATCCTTCTAGGAGAGAAAGAAGACATTTATGGGCGGTTTCCTCCTTTCTGCTTGTTTGACAACCATGAACAACTCCTATATCGTCAAACATATTTCTTTTTCTCCACGCATGTAATAAATATTTGCTTCCTCAAACCATACCTAACTCAGTCTGCAATCCTCCACTGTGCATCAGATTGTTTTTCATTGAAGTTTACAGGTTTATTTTCCTTGTTAATGGCATTTGTTATCACTTTTTAAGTTTGCTGAGCTCTCCTGAATATATTTTACCTTTGTTCTGTGTTTTCTGCTTTTTTCTTTATTTGTATATTATTATCCCCCCTAATGTAATGCCCTTTATGCTGTAAAGTTCCGAGAGAATGCGCACCCCCAAGAGATTGCCTATCCCGTTTTTCTGGCCAAATATCTTTAACATAAAAATTCTGAAACATCATCGCCCGCCCGCCCGCCCGCCCGACCGCCCGCCCCCCCCCCCCCCGATTCCCTTCGGATGTCACGCGATGTCCAACGGGAATCTCATCAACCGCGCAATCTGCTGTACCAACATGTCTGACAAGCAAGTTCATAGCGGGTTTCCCCGTTTTTGTCCACAAGCTGCTCACGTGATATTGGCTCCTGTAACACTCGAGTTGCTCCCGCGTGTATGTTGCACCATAAAATGTGAATCTGCTGCGTCCGCAATCTGCAGTATCAGTTCTCGTGACATTAGGTTTGTGGTTACATTCAAGGATATCACTTTGTGGTTACATTCAAGGATATCAGGTGTTCGCTCACCTCGCGATCCATGAATGGATTACTGCTTGTACTATATTTCCGACTTTTTTTTCTGTCCGAACAAACTATTTTGTAATCAAAACAAGTTTATATTTGTTATCTCCATCATTTTCCTGTTGCACACATCTACTCAGACTTCGGGGTCACGCAAATCGGGGAGGAAATGCGCAAACAAAGTGAAGTGTCTTTCCCTCCTTCGTTTTAGTTCGTCACGGACGTCCTCCAACCGCAAGGTCTGCGGCCGCATCATTCAGGTAGGATGAGTGATCGCAGAGTTCGCGTTGGGGTATTTGTACGGGTGGGCAATCACTCGGCGTTTTTTGGGAAGTCGATATTCGTCCAAAAAGAGGGTGGGCGATGACTCTGGGATGGGCGATGACTCGGGATACTACGGGATGCATTTGAGGCCAAAATATTTCTCAATCCATAAATAAATTTTACGACGATGGTTATGGGCAAAACTTTTGCCTGTGGACATGAAAGGTCTAACAGCGATACGGGACCCAAGCAGCTAACTAGCACCCCTAGCCCCCCCAAAAAAAACTTACTGGACTCAGTATCGTGTCCATAGATTCTCGTCCTTCTGTGAGTACTAGGTATGACCGCGAGAGCTCCTCGAACTTCTGAAAAGACAAAGAGAAGTGCCAAGTCTGAGGTCTCATGTGGCACTAAGGTACCAAAGCAACATACCTGTATAGTTGGTTTGTTAGCACGATGCTTGGATGGGTGCCACTGCAAGGCCAACTCTTGGTAGTTCAATTTGATGTCATCCAGTGATGGATCTGTTAAAAAAGGAAAAGGCAAAAAGAAAGAAAAAAAAAATCTATAACTCAAACTGGTTTAACAATAAAAAATTGAGCTACATAAAATTGCCTTAAAATGCCGTTCACATCTTTTTGCTTTATGTAATACGAACCACTTTTAGCAGGGTTCCTTGGCCTAAACTCCACCTTACGAAAACTCCAATGAACTGTCAATTATCTGAGACCTTTTCAAAAAACCATCTAAAGGTGTTTCAGTGATGTGATTGGCTTAAGCCGTTTTGGAGCACATTTTGGGGCAGCGAAAACAGTGTTTTAGAGCAGCAAAAGCGGCCTTTGGAGCAGCCAAAACAGTGTTTTAGAGCAGCAAAAGTGGCTTTTAGAGCAGCTAAAACAGTGTGTCGGAGCAGCAAAAGTGGCTTTTGGAGCAGATATTCTTAGAAAAATAAAATTTTAATTTCAAGTGGTGGACAAACCAAGGACACATTGCTCGCCACAATAAACCAATTATAGTTTGAAGTTAGACCACCTGGGAGCCTTTTAACATGTAACTGAAATGCCAATGACATGACACATTTTGCAATGCTTCAGTTAAATGATACATATATATGTACCCGCTATAGGTAAATAAAAACCAAACTGCACATATTAAAATTTCTTTGAAAATGACCAGCTTAGTAGTAAAAATCACAGCATTAGGTTGTTAGTAATAAATAAATGGAAGCACTCTCCAACTGATGAAACACGTAACTACTGACGTGCAATGCGAAATTGTCGCGCGAGCGAAGATGGCTGTTTGATCAAAACCATGCCACTCCGCTTTGTCGCCAACTGGTTTCCAAAATTGTACGCAAAATGTAACTGTCCAGCATACGGCAAAAACAGTCCATCGGCACGTGCTTGCCAGGCCGGCAGGCAAGGTACAAGCTAAACACACAGAAAAAAAGAACCTGAGCGCATTGATGCAAGACATCGCGAGCCAGGGTCAAAAAGTTCTTGAGCGCTTTATGCAACAACTGAACTCGAGACAAACAAGCACACTGTGCGGGTTCAGCGTGCAGACATTGCCTTCTTTGCTTTAGCTTATTTCTCTTCACCAACTTTCTTTCGTGGCAGATTTTTCACATACCGGGGTCTGTCTCGAAAGAAAGCCTACAGAGAGAAACCTAGGTAATCAATACTTCGACACAGCAGTCTTCGAGCTAAAGGGATTTTTGTGGTAGCGTATTAAACAAGAACAGGAATGTTGATGAACATGCGACAGTCCTTTTATTTCAGTTTAGAAAGCGCCATTTCTGCAGCGACGTGGGGACGGCAACACCCGACGTCGCACGACCACGGTGACAGGCAGGCAGGGACCAAATAGTTTTTCCACGGCCGTTGCTGCCAGGAGCGAGTGCTTCAGCTCATAAAGTAACTCCCGCCGCGCAAAAACATGGTTTCGTTTCACAGCATGACGGCATGGCTGGTACCCGCACGCTAGCATCGGAGTGTCTGCACACGCCCACGTCTATTATTGAAAAAATTTTAAAAAGACGCGAGACGAGAGACGGCGGGAAAAACCATGCAAGACCAGATGAACGATTGATGCAGCGTACTTTGTGTTGGGCGGCCGCTTGCGCCACCTAACTCATGTGTGCTCGATTACGGTACTCAGTTTAGTTTCGGTTTTCAAAGGCGACCAAAATTGGTCCTTTGGCGCAGACTTGGCACAGATTACCCATATTTTGGCAAAATGTAGCAGGATGTAGCAGGGTTAGCCCATTGGCACAGTTTCGCACAATTGGAGCAGCAATCACATCACTGGTGTTTACAAATAGCTGTGCACCATCAAACGTTACGACGCAATCACACAGAGGGAAAACGCACGTCGAGGGGTGCATTTTTTGCTTGTTCATGTGTTGAAAAAAGTAATGCGTCGAAGAGGACTACCAGCGGGGGACATCGTCTCTGGACCCAATTTTTCCCTCAATGCGCGCACTTGAGCCAATCAGAGAGCGACGGGAACAGACAAATTGGTCTGTTTTCGATTAGGACCATGTTTTCGCTGCTTTTATTTTTGGTGCACAAGGAATGTGAAAAGTCAGAGGGATCAAGGGATGCAGGCAGCCACCAAATGTGGTTGGAAGCATATATGTGTGGAGAAAAGCAAGCCAATTGGAAGATCTGATTGTAAATAGTGTTTTCTGTGCATCTACGAGACTGTGTAACTACTTATCATTTGCATGAGAGCTCCCACCAAACAACAAACTTAGACACATGTTCCGACTGTGCAAGAGCGACCACCCCAATGTGTTTTGTGCTTTCTTTGTATGCTCACCACTACTACGGAATACAACAGTTCCCCTTTGAGAACACTCGCACAGGCTGCGTGCAGAGTGCCATCAAAGGTCCGGATGCACAGGCACAGCACCGTGCTAAGTTTTGTACAAAAACATGTGCCAAAAGAGCACATAAACCTGAACCTGTGCGTTCGAGTCCATGCCTCTCACAAAAGCTGCATAACAACTGGAGTGTAAATGCATTCGGGTGAATTCACCTCAAATCGTGCAAGAAAAAATGTTGGGTCTTCAAAAAATTCTGGAAAAAAGATATGTTGTAGGCAAAATCTTCATTAAAACAAAATCGGAAAAGGTTTTGAAGAAGAAAAAAAATGTATTCTCGAGTTGTTAACTTTCGAATGACCGAAAGCAGATCCTGAGATTTTGGCGATTGTCATAGGGTGCACATTTCAGAGTCCTGCTATGCTCATATATTGGCTTCACATCAATCAAATTTTTTTCACTTATTTTATACTTCAGGTTTTATATGCAGACAAGGTTGAAAAGCCAAGAAACATTTCAACCCCGTCTGCGTCTCCAGCTCGTTGCTCACCCTCTAGCAGCAGGAATAGGAGTGTTCTAGCACAGAGCACCCCTGGTCCTCCTGCTCAGCAGGCACGGCAGAACAGCTCGTGATCATGGCTCACAAACAGTCATTTCTGATGGCAAACAACACTATTCACAGTACCAATGTAGTGCTGCAGCCTGTGTGGGATTAAATCTTACTGTTTCACCGGTTTTCCAAGGCCAACAAAAAATGCTGCAGCAAAGAGACATGCAAGCGGGTAGGTATTTTTCAAGCTGCGACCCTTGTCACGTCACATGTGACATCGTTATGGGAAACATCCCATAATGCAACGCGTGGTTACGCCGACGGCGACACCACTCAAGCCGGAAATGGGCACCTAAATGCTGCGCTCTAAAACAACATCCCATGTTGCCTCTTGGGTGTATGAAAAACCCTGTGAGAAAACCAACACTAAAGTAAAAAAAAATTAAAAAAATCTGTTAGTGCTTAAGGGGGGACACTGGCTAGAGGTTGAACTTCTTAACTGCTCATGTGATCGGAATGAAATTTGCATAGGAGATTTAACTTCAGATGAAGGTGTCATGTGCAAACTTTCAGCTCTCTAGGACAATTTAATCTACCCACATAAAAAGATGTGTCACTCTTCGTTAAGAAATCTATTATATGCAAATGAAGCTATTAAGCATCATTTAACTGCTTGAATATAAAGCGGGCAAAGCGGGACTTTGGGCTATGTAGTTTTTATAACTCAAATGTAAATATTTCAGGAAGAGTGATTACCTCAAAATATGACATGCATATCGGTCCTATGTCAATTTTTGAAAAGTATTTTCTCAATGAGGGCTTTAATGTAAAACAAAATAAAGTAGATAGCCCGATTCCCCAGTAAATTTCAGTTCAGAAACATCTTGATTGTGGTATCAGAATATTTTTACCTTTGAACAAAAGATTCCTTTGTATGAAATTTGCAGCAAAAAGCAGAACTGAGAAAAATGCATTCAAACATTAAACTCCTTTACTTTGTTACTGCCTCACAGTGTGTTGAAAATATACTATATCAGCGTAACTATTTGGCGCATGGTTATGAAATTTAGTGTAAGGGTGTATATTTAGTTTCTAAAACCAAAAACTTCAAAATTGAAAAATGAATTTTTTCATAACATTTTGAAATTTAGGCCCATGTCCCTAAACATGAACATAAAAATAAACATGCCCCAAATAAAACCTTTCTAGCTCAATAATTACGCTGTCTTGAATTAGCAGTAAAACTGAAATTAATGTATATAGCGAGACATTAACTCCAAAATAGAAGCTTCGGTTTCGCTCCTGAAAGTGACAATGTCTCATGGCGTAAATATTACGAGACACCTTTTTTTTTTTTTTTGGGGGGAGAAAAAGTTGACCTGCCCAGCTTCCTCGTAGATGCAGGAATAATGTGTCGCTCAGTAAAGCCAGCGCACCAGACAGGCTCAGCAACTGATATACTATCATGCATCTCCGACTTTCACTATATCTGCCATTTTGAAAAACTAGTGGTGCCACCTATTCGCGACTCAAGCAAGCTATAGGCCAGGGCAGGCAAAATGGTGGACAAAAGGAGGTAGTTTTCATCATTCAGCACGTGGACCACCATAAATTTTTTGCACTGCAGCGTAAAATTGGTGTTACATATGAAAGCAAAGCAATTTTTTGATGGCAGAAACCTTCTTCTAGTCAGTACGTAGGAATGCAACAGCGGAAGCATAAAAATATTTACTGGAAACAATGTTTGTTTCATGCTGCCTGAGAACCAAGCAGCCATAGCAGACAACAGAATCGAAACAACCTCTTCTCTTAAACTTCTCGCTTGCCGCTACCACTACACGGCATTGCTTGCCGCTACACAGCATCGATTTCGCTGGAGTCACCAATAGACAGCTCGAGTCGCAAATATTGCTGCACAGCTCCTTTAAGCCGGCTGAAACTGATGCCAAGAGGAAATGTCAACAATGAGGGCATGCTTTAAGACGACTGTTTGCAATATTAGGGAACTGTTCAGCTAAACAACCAAATTGCCTTTCAAATTAGTCTCACCAACATCAACACTTGGCATAGTAAATGATCACCTGTTAGCCTCTAAAGATAAAAAGTGGAAAAAGTTACATGGAAGTTAAATATCTTGAGCATCAGAG